CATCTGAAGAAATTCCAGGTTGTGTGCTCTACATCTTCCAGACTTTCACTAGAGGACCTTGTCAAGCAAATGACTGTAAATAATCTCCAATTTCAACAACGAATAGATTCTAATATTCAAGTTTTGCAGACACAGATTGAACAACTTGCCACTTCAATGAATTCCGTAAAGCAAGCTCAATGATCAAACCAACTACCTACCTAAACAATAGTGAATCCAAAAGAGTTGCTTTCTGAAATTGTTGATGAAGCTTATTCTGATTTGTTTTCAGCTGACTTTCCATCTTTATTTGGTTTTGATGACATGTACTCATGTGATGATTGTATTGACACTAATATTTATTCTGTTTGTGTTGAGATTGAGGTCGTCTTGAATATTGACATTTTTCCTACATATGGAGTTGTAGATGAAGTTGTTTATACAACTGAAACTGTCAACATTTTGGCTGCCCCATCCAAACATTCCGTCGAACACCTACTTTCTGAATCAATTACTAAAGATTTAAATTATTTATCAAATCTTGAATTTGAGCAGGAAGAGAAATTATTACATAAACATAAAAAGAGAATTGGATGGACCTTGGTTGACACTCGTGATATTAGTTCATCCATGAGTATGCATAGGATCTCACTTGAAGATGGAAGAAAAGCAGTGAGGCAGCCCCTTAATCCTTTAATCTCTGATGTTGTGGAAAAGAAAATCATTTTCTCGTGCCTATTCGAAACGAAGATTCTTCTTTGATCCTGGAATAAAAGGCGAAAACACTAATAATAATTTCAAATTTAATGGATGCTACCCAAAGCTACTGTATGAGATCTCCATTTTGGAAGAAGAGACTATAAAATAACTATCTTTGGGAAAGACTACTTATGTGATCACTTATCTGTCTTGACTCCTCAGGTGTATTCTTTCCTTTCTCTCACTCTTATTTTATATTTATGTTCTTTCATTGATGATAATGTATGCTTTAAGTGTGAGGAAGAGAATCATTTATTTGTTTTGTTTTCTTTCACTTTTTGTGTGTTTTTTTAAATAAAAAAATTTAGACTTAGAAACACAATGCATCTTTTGAAATTTTTAGGCTATAGATTAATTTGAGGTTAGATTATAGAGACTTGGGAAAAATTTATAAGATTGATACCATTTTAACACCTTAAGTCTCCCGAATATAGAAGTCGATTTAAATACTTGTTATGACATAACCTTGAGTGAGTTCTCATCCTTTAATAGCTCTTAAGTAGTTTACCCAACAATCAACAACATCTAGAAATCATACACTAAGTAATCAAATTGATACAAATAAGTGAATAATCACGTACTTAATAAGAAATTTGAATAGGAATTCGTCTTTTAAGTTAGGTGACTCTCAACCGGTCACTTAGGCTAACAATTATGAAACTTTAAGAACAAATATTGTTGTTGCTAAAGTGGTTAATTTTGGATTGTTGGAAAAATATGAATCATAGACACTAACATACTTATTTACCATATGTGTGAATAGATAACAGGTTTAATGTGATTGCATTAGAATGAAAGAGAGTAAGAAGGAGGATGAGTAAGTTAAGCTTAGGCAAAATAACATGATTCAGATTAGTTTGTATAGGAGGGAGGTTTATGACCGCACAATTGCAAATTTGTGTTCTTACGATATTCTTAGTGTGTAAAATTAGTACCTATCTATGCAATATTGACCGAAGAAAAGTTTGTAGCCTGTAATGAGTATCTGGATGCTATTGTTTTTCATGAGTCTTGATATTATTTTGCTTGGAGTGCAAAAGTTTAAGTGTCGGAGAATTTGATCAGTGCATCTTCATGCACATTATTCCAAGGTTATACTTAGGCGTTCCTACAGTTTATTTGAGTATTTTTACAATTTTAATGTGTTTTCATATTTAAGTTTGTTTCTAACTTTATTTTATTTTCGCAGCTTATTTTCAATATTAACAATTATTTGATACTTGTTCACTATGTAAACCGTAATTGGAGCTACGAGAATTAGAATGACGCGTTCTAATAGGCGTTGAAAAGTTAAGATAAAGATCTACAAGTTTTGTATTGAGGCCGAGAGTTAATTTAGATTGTAGCAGGCTCGAATAATTCGTTGAAGTTTCAGACTTTAGGAATATTTAGTTTTGGACCGGGATTTTTTTAATGTTTTTCGACCTAGTTGGGTTAGAATAAGAATTTGTGATACTTCCCTATACCTAGTAGCAGCCATGTTTCTATTCATTATCTTCTTTTCACGATTTTTATTTTGTTTTGTACAATTTGAATGGAGAACTAATTCCCGAATGCAACTCCTGCTGCTTACGTGTTCCATCGCTTTGAGGTTATTCTATTACCAATTTAAATTCGATTTCTTTCAATCCTTTTCTATGAAGTCATTTGCTTAATCTGATTGCAATTGTCTGCTTAATTCAGTTGTTGTTCATAGGATATAATTGATTATATTCGATTGTATGTATATTTCTAAATTTAATTGCGTGGTTTCGTTTGGTTAATTTGTTAACTCGTCATATTCTTAACCGTTTGCTTAATTTGGTATACAAGAGCATAATTCATTTGATTTTGATAAACGTTTATCTAATTGATCTCATAATCGAAAAGGATCAAAGCCATTTAGTGATTGGTGTTATAGTAACCGATGATAAGTCGGAACCAGAATCAATAGGATTAGCCGTTTTAACTTATTTGATAATCACTTATTTTCTTTTGTTTTCTAAATTGAAACCTAAAACATCTATAAACCTTTACTTTAGTTGATTAATTCAATACAAGAATCTTTGTGATACGACTCAAGTCATTGTCACTAAACTACCGTTTTTAAAATTACTTATTTTGATCAGTGCGCGACAGCAGATCAGTGACCCTGTAGGTTCTTGTGACTTTGACAATTATATTAAATTATATATTTAATATAATAAACAATGAGCGGTATTTAGCAACACATCACTGCTATCCAAGTCACGAAAATGTCATGTGATCTAACAAAACCTTTTGTGTTAGTACTTGTATGTACAATTACCCTTTTGCCCTTATGTCTATATTGAACACACAACATATACTGTGTCATCCATATCCAATTCAATATTGGACCCTTAGACATTTATCCTGTTATGCAGGATGGACAAGTTCCATCTAAATCACTCATGTCCCTCAACATGCTTTGCGGAGTATCCATCAACTGTCTTTATGGTCATCCAGTTACGGACAATGTTAGATTAGTAATAAAGTACCTTACTCAACATATAGGGTCCATAGTGGTTTCAGGTCGAATAATGATATACATCATTATCACCATGAGAATAATGTATGACACTTTGCATAATGTTATATGTAGTAGTCTCATAGCGAGTCAATCCAGTATAAATATTACTCCTAATATTCATACCTAAGTTAAGACTTGATAATTCCTTATCCATGACCCATGAGATGTGATCATCGACCTATCTACATAATAGTCTTAATGCTTTAAGGTTATCCCACTTCATCGTAAAACTCGACTACAAATACTTTAAGAATAATGTCCTTATGTTTAATGGATCTCATGATTAAGTCACACTTAATAGTTCATTAAACGAACTAATTATTCTAGGGACTTTATTATTCTGAAAAAAACAACCATTATAAAAAAATGTCTTTTACTAATAATAAGTAATTCGATACAAGTACCAAAAGTATTGGCCTCTAGGGCTTACACCAACACACGGTTGTAACCACTTTAATCGCAAATAATTTTGCATTGGGAGTTTGTTTCACTTCGTTCCGATTAAGTAACTTTAGTGCAATATAAGCTTTATCACGATCTATTAGTTTCGGCCTAACATGATTTATGTTCGTCGTTTAGAGGTCCTTCACCACATGGAGAAGGTGATCTGGTCATGGATATGCGCTAAGAGTAACTATGAACTTGCCATATCCTTGAAGTCTTCACATTGAGTATCGTTGTGGTGAAGGATAATAAAGCTGAATACGAGATTGAAAGGTTAATCGAGAACCTTCGATGCGATCTTGGAGGTCATTTCAACATAAATCTGACTTTTGATCTAGAATCATCTCCTCAAAGAATTTTTGCGGGAATCACACGTTCGATGTCTCAAGAAATCAAAGTTGAAGTGTTGCTCGATTACTTGAGAACGTAGGAGTCAAAAATCTGACAATCCAAGAAATCTGATTTGAATTGAAACTCGATTAAATCGAACGTGACAGATCTTCACATTCAATCATGAATGCTCTTGATTCAGTGACATGAGAAAGTTTTGAATTGGAGAGCGATTGTGAAATTGTGGAAAACATGGATCAAAAGTCGATTTTCCCAAACAGCGCCACTCTTCCATACTGGAATCAGAATTGGATGCAATTGGCGGTGAAGAATCATGAACCGGTAGTGCTGATCTTCAATACGATGGTGCAAGGTGAATCTAAAAGGTTAACACTCTAACATCAAAGTTACTTCAAAATTCAAGATGAGTTTAGTAAAAAATGGAGTTTAGAAAGTGTATCTTACTTTCCGTGTGAAATAACTTTTAAATCTTGGGTTAAATGGAGTGGAAATCTCCTTTAATTATATATATATATATATATATATATATATATATATATATATATATATATATATATATATATATATATATATATATATATATATATATATATATATATATATATATATATATATATATATATATATATATATATATATATATTTCATAGTTTTAAAAGTTTTTACAAGTAAAATTTACTAAACCATAGAAATTCAATTTTATAAGCTATATATAGTCATACAAAAATTCGTATACCATATAAAGTATAGACCAGCAAGCTCAAAACTCCTTTAACCGCGGTTGGTAAATCTACTTCAATCAGTATTACATTATGAAACTACATAAAATCTAGCGGAAACCATTTCAGTCAGAACCAGACCAGAGAGAAGGATCAAACAGTCAGAACCATAGAAACTTTCTTTCCCCTTTGTTTAACTGTTTATAGCAAGAAGAGGAATGAGCAGAGGGAAGGGTGATGCTGAGAAGGTGGGACCCATGTTCCCACGGCTCCATGTCAATGACACAGCAGAGAAAGGAGGACCAAGAGCACCACCGAGGAATAAGATGGCACTCTATGAACAATTTAGTGTCCCCTTTCAAAGATTCAACCCTAATTCAAATTCAAATTCTTCTAATTCACTTCCTCTAACACGTTCCTCAAGCTTGGTAAGTCTTTGATTTATGTAGTTTTATGCCCCTTTTGATCTATAAGTGTTGTTTACCTATTCTTACATGTTATATAGATTTAATTTTTTAGTTCAATTTAGATTTAGACTTTATATGATTCTGTTTATGTTGTTGGATACATGATCTATGCCTTGAATTGTGATTGAAGAATATACAAAGTAGCACACAAGGAAATATACTTAGGTTTTCTACTTGTATTTTATCTTTTATTTGAGGCACACTTGATAACAAACCAGATAATGTTATGTATGTGCTTGTTTATTTCTTTTTTTCGCATAAAATAAGTATAGTTGCTTTTAAAAATTTAGGGGATTCAGTGTGTTTGGTTATGCAGAAAATTGATTTTGAGTGAATTGATTATCTAAAATTGTTTCAGCTTAAAAGTGAGTGGAAGATAAAGTGATTTATGTTTGGATAAGTTTGTGCAAAAGTGAATTGAACAAGAAATTTCAGTGTAAAAATCACGTTTAGATTGTAAAGCTTCAATCCTAGCTTTAAGTATAATAAATTTTGGAAAGCATAATCAATTCTACTCTAGAGCAACCAAACATGTCAAAATCAATTGTACACACCTAAAGTCAATTTTGGGTGCTCCAAACGGGAAATCAAACATACACTCATCAATTTTGTTGTTTTCTTACTTTATGTATGTGTGTGAGTACAGATGTTAGCAGTGTTTGGCTCAAATATGGTTCTTCATTTATAAAAAGGTCCTAATAAGTTAATAGGTGTTTGTGGAGAAGTTAGATGAATGAGTTTTTGAAAAAATTGAGATGAAAAAGCTAATTTGAAATTAATTGAAGAGCTATCTTGAAGAAACTCAAAAGTTATGGTAAAATTCTTTTTCCATTTATTGAGAAATTTATTCAAGTTGGCTTATTCTCACATCCTAAATTTTGCTATAGCTCAATGATGTATTCGGATTATTGTTGGGATAGAACGAGTCAACTCATCTTTTTGTTGCTTTTATGTTGAAGGCTTCAAATGCGTGTATATTGAAAACCCAAATAAGTTGTTGCCAAAGAAAATGCGTTAATTTTATATAACCAAAACAGGAGTTTATTGGGCACTTACGCCCCCTTTTATTTTGTGCTTCTAACTTTTTTTTTTGAAAGGAATGGTGTGGCAATGATTTTGTTGTAGAGACTTTGTTACTAAGGCCCTGTTTGGTTAAATAACTTACTTTGCAACATATAGAATAAACACTTATAAGTTATCATGATAAACACTCATGTATAACCTATTTTTATAATAAAGGATAAACTAATGATAAAATGTTATTGTTTTTTTGTAAAAGCTATAAGCTGTTTTCATATGCTATCTTGAAGGGCTTACGAAAATAAGCTGAAAACAGCTTATGAACCTGCCATGATAAGAAACAACTATTCAAAAAGCTTAATTTGTTAAGGAAAAAGGCCCGTTAGTGTTTTTACATATTATACGCATTTACCTAAGAATCAAATGGACTTGGTCTTGCTTTTTTAATAATGTGCTGAAATCCAACTTTGAAATTGAAAGAATGGCGTGCCAACAACTGAACTCACCATTTGGTTATAGAGGCCGCATTATGTTATCATCTCTAACATGAACCAATATATTTGAAGGGAAATGACCCTGAGAGAAGCTACATCTTCCCAGTTTGCTTACCTTCACAAACAGAAAGTTATATTTCTCATCAATCTAATGGAGCAAACATGCACACTTTGACAGCACGAATTGAACATAGAAAAAAAGTAGATGGAGATGATAGTCATGCATATGATCGCTCGAGGATTGGTCAATCTAATGATAAAACAATGAAGAGTTTCAACGGGGAAAAACACACTCCTATGGGCTCCGGGAATTTTGGCTGTTCAGTATCAGTGAAAAATGACGGTGACAAAGATCAAACACAATTTGGCTCCTTGGTCGTCAAAATGAGAAAAGATGTGAGAAATAAGGGTGAAGCGCATCTGCAAGAAAGCCTTAGTAGACAGAAAACAGTAATCTCTGTCGAAAGAATATTGACAGGAGAAAATATTGACAGTCCAGTGAGGCAAGCCAAGATGATTTCAGATGAAGAGGATCAAAGTGATGCTTGCATACAGCAGGAATCCAATAATATTGAACATGGTGGAAGTCTGGTTGACTCTGCAATGGATACGGATAATAGAAACAGCTTTATATTAGGAGGCTGCTTTCGTTCTACAGTGAACCAAACCAGTGTACCTGAAACTGCCGATCATACCGAGTATCATGATACCAACATTGACAGCCCAATAGAAAATGGAAACTCAGAAGGAAGTGATGATCTTTCCAAGAATTCCACTCTAGAAAATATGCCAAGCCCAAAGCTTTCTCCCGATGGTGTCGTAGAGATATTAGGTCAACAACTTTTTTGGAAAGCAAGGCGAAAAATTTCCAAGTAAGTATCGTCAAATGTTTACGGTTTTGTTTTCTTAAACAATATAGAAATTATCATTTGCATCAATATCAATAATTTTATTATTATTCTGAGTATTCGTTTTTGCTTCTCCATAAAGAAATAAACCATATAACATAAACAATAATTGTAAAGCTTTACCAGTTTTCCAGCTCAGTTGATTCTATTGGGAATGCTGAATGTACCATATTTGATTGTATGCTTAATTAATGCTTCCTGTTGGAGTCTTGCCTTTATTTTGAACCAGAAACAATGAAATTGAATAACTATGTTTTGTGTGGAATTTCCAAGCTTTTATGTAGCGAATCATGTGAGTTAATACATTCCAATCCTCCTACAAAAATGCTGTTAAGATTTCTGAGAAAATATGATATGCATGAGTTCTGGAACGGTAGATATTAGGCTTGATTGACCGGGTACCTCTGAGATGAAGGAGAATCTTTGATTTTGATAGTTAATGGTTTATATGTTAGTTCTTTCAACTGTTCAACATAATCATATCTAGTTCTGAATGTTATCATTTCATTGTTTCTCAAATCCCATTTTGGAGTATTGTGCAATTTTATTGGTTGACCTCTCATTCCTCTCTACAGTCAACAGCGAATGTATGCGGTCCAAGTGTTTGAATTGCACAGACTGATAAAGGTAAAATGATCTTACTGAGTAATTCACCCTCTCAAAGTTCAAACATGTTCATGCCAAGTAATTCATTTAATTTATACAGGTTCAACATCTGATTGCTGAATCATCAAATCTTTTGCCTGATGCTGCTGCTATTTTGGGAAAATTTCCTCTGCAGGGATCTAATTCTAAAAGCCTTTCATTGGAAGAAGTTGTTGAACCTCACACACAAAATCATAAACAGCAAGACCATTCTGAAAACCAAAACCATAAATTGGATTGTTCTACTGAAAATGGAGTTGGGAAGACATCATTATCATCCCAAAAATCAAACCAGGCAAATGCTGGTTCACAGTTTTTTAATCAATCACCTGGACATCAGTGGTTAATTCCTGTTATGTCTCCTTCCGAGGGGCTTATCTACAAGCCATATCCCGGTCCTGGATTTCCTGGAGCTGTATACGGAGGATATGAACCGTTTGGACACAGTCCTCCAGATGGTACATTCATGAATCCTGCCCATGGAGTTCCAAATTTTCATCAAGCGATTGCGATGTCACCGTTCATTCCTCCAAGCAGTTATGCCTACTTCCCTCCTCACGGCGTTCCAGCAATGAATCAATCAGCATCAGTTGCTGAACAGGTAAACCAGTTTGTGGCACAAGGTTCTCGTGATCGAAACGGTAATTCATCTTTAGTTGGAGCTGATTTTGACACTCATAATAGTGGAGCCGTATTACACGTCACAAAATCTAGGCCATCTAGGGAAAGAGAACTTGTAAGTAGTCCTAATGAAAAGGCACAGGGAATAAGAATAGAGAAATCTTCTGAAGGAAGAGACACATTTCCATCCTCCTTTACAGTTCCATTAGCATCAGATGAAGTCTTTCAATCGCTTGAAACAAGACAAAAACCGCAGGTAATCAGAGTTGTGCCACATAACCCACGATCTGCAACGGTATCAGCTGCTAGAATTTTTCAGTCGATCCAAGAAGAGAGAAAACAGTCTGATCTATTCTAGTGTTGTTTATGGACGTGTAATCTTTGAGTTGAGTTTATAAAATGGATCAAGTTCTGTATTGCTTTTGTTGTCATGTATTATAAGTTTATAACTCCAAATCAAAATATGCTTTAGTTAACATCTATCAAAATCAACAAAGACCTACATATTGATTAGAATAGTTTCTTATTACATCAAGATAAACATAAAACATATAAAAGTCTAATGTTATTAAGGGCACATTGGATTACTACCGGGTCCTCCATAACTAAACTCAGGATCTTCAAGATAATCTGATTGATAGTAAACATCATAACAATTATATTCATCTGAGTAATATTGAACCCATTCTGGAATCTTCAGGATCGGATAATTATCGTGAACTCTCATCCTTAATATGGAAGCTGAATAGTGGCCTCTAGGAAATTGTCCGTTACCCATTTGTGTTTTGGTATGAGGAGTATGTCCAACAGTTGTACTGTAAACTTCACCACCCCATTCCACTGATTCAGCATGGTAGCAAATTGCTCTGAATATTTCTGGTGGCCAATAACCTATGTTGGTCTTTTCACCATATTGCACCCACCAATTATTAGTAATTGGGTCCTAAAGCAAAGGAAAACAATGATTAAACATGAAAAAGAAAAATGAAAATCTCCATAGTAGGTATAGTTCATAAAAATGTGTGTGACCTTATAGATGTAAATAGTTATTTGGTATGGAAGACCACCAGGAACTGGTATTGGATAAATTGCAGCACCTAAGGCAATTTCATTGCTGGTTTGAATAAATCCAGGACAGGTCAGATCAAAGCAACCTGTTTCGTGCGAACCATCGGCCTGCAGAAATTGGTGTTCCAAAGAATTGAAATTTATTAAACTTTCTGAATAAAGGCTAGTCTATAAGCAAAACTAAATGTATCAGGTTGATACAACTGTATGTACTTACCGTCCAATATGCGAATAATCGAGTCTTCCTATCTCCATATACACTAGGATTGACCTGTAACAGGTTTATCGAACACAGATAATGAAAACTTTGACCGAAGAAACGTTTTAAACCATTAATGAAGTTGATAAAGTAATAAGTTAAAGTGATTTTTACTTTCAAAATTTCATAAAAACTTTATGTTAAAGTAATAAGCGTAAGTTACTTTGATGCATAAGTTACTTCTTACCGCCCAACCGGATTCAATGCACTCATAGTAATTGTAAGATCCTCCACTCAAAAGAGAAACCTGAGCAGTGCTGTATTCATCATCCTTTTCAACCGAAGGACCAAAAACTCTAATGTCTCCTTTACCTCCCACGTAGCGAAATCCATCTGCGAATAGTATTGCCTTCTGGTTCACATGAATGTAAAATCAGCAAAATAGAAGAGTTTGTTGCTTCAACTACAAGTAATATTGTGCCATGTTACTAACTCTTTTTTTAGCACGTATTGCAGAAACTTACAGAGTGATTTTGTTGCTGTACAAAGGAATCCAGATTATTATTCAGCCGATGATTTACTTGTCTGTTTAAAAAACTGGGTTTCTTCCTTCCGTATTCATCGATTGTGCGAGCCTTAAGAAGCTCTCTCTTTAGTATTCTTCGAACAGGTACCGTTCCCTTTGGACAACTTCCATTTTTCTGCCATATTTGGGATGCTACTGTCACATACGGTTCTTCATCCTTTTGCTTCTTCATGGTATTCTTTGTTTTACTTCTAGTCCTTTCTATGGGATCCTTCTTAGCTGAGTTGTAACTAGGAGCCATCTGGTTACATATTTTATTTTACGCAGATTCATACACTAGTGAGTTGGAGTTTTCAAAAAGAAAACATGTTTTACAATCATATATAAAGTATTCACCTGAATTTTGTGATCTTTCAAAGCAGGATGATCAAACGCAGGTTGCTTTTTAATGTCGACGCAATCAATAATATCTCCGTCTTCACTCTACAAGCATGGAAAGATAATATAATTATTAAGCTTAGCACCTTGCGTGACAGTTTAGAAAATATGAAGAATATCAAAAAAAACTCACTCAATATTTAACAATGTCTGATATTTTCTAATATATCTAACTTCCAAAGAATTTTTTTACCTCAATGGTTTTTAATGAGTGTTTTCTAAGATGGTGTAGTTTTCTCTCAACTTCCAAAATCTTCTGTTTAGAGAAAGCGCCATCACTGTTAGTAACGTAATCTGTAATTAACAGCATCAAGAGAATGAATATTACTTTAGATCTCATGGCTGGAAAAAACAGTTTATTTATCAATTCAACTGTATAAAAGTGTAATGTAACATAAGATGCAGAGAACATGAATGAATATGAATGAATGGAAGACAAAGATATGTTTATATGTATAATATAGTGATACATATGACATTTATTGGTAACATGAACTATATATGTACATTGCTTAACTATAAGTTAGCTAGTGATGTCTGCATGAGTTACCCGTCCATATATTTGTCATTCATCTTCTGTTTACAACAACACTTCAAATAGTTGAAATTCAAATGCATGCTTCATTTATCAGCCACCTTCTCATAGAAAAATTAATTTAGAAGAAATATTAATAATTTAAACTGAACAATCATTAATTCATTTCAAAACTACTCCACCGTTAGAGATTAGGAGATTAGAGGTGTGCATGAATTATAAATCAAACCAAATCAAACCACATATATGGTTTGGTTTGGATCTTAAAATCATTTATATAAAACCGGTTTATTTTTTAAAAACCGGTTTACAAGTGGATTGGTTCGGTTTCAAACCGATTTTAAAAAAAAAAACAGTTTTTTTTAAAATCAATTTTAAACTGGTTTCTCTTACAAACCAGTTTTTTATTTTCTTTAAAGAAATCAGTTTTAAAACCAATTTTTTAAAAAAATCAATTTTAATGTAAACTATCAAATAATTGATAAACCACCTGAAACTTATTCTACTTTAAACTTATTACAAACTATCAAATGATTGATATAAATCAATTAATGAATTTTATTCTAGCTTTACATTGAATTAAATCAACACTCCATATATCTTAAACTTTAAACTACTCAATGTAAAACTGGAATTAGAATAATTCATTTTCATCGTGAATTAAATCAATTAATCGAGAAGTACGTTGAATTGATATAAATTAATTAATCGTGAAACTTATTCTACTTTAAACTTATTGCAACCTATCTACCTTAAACTTATTATACTTTAAACCAAATCAATTTTATTGCAAAATAGGGGTGTTGATCTTGATTTTCCCAATTTATTCTACTTTTGTTTTTGAAACTTATTGAAAAATAGTTACTGAATCTCAATCCGGTTTGAAACAAATGGTTATCGGTTTTTTTTTTGTTTTTTTATTTGATAAATGGGCCACCAAATTTAAAATATAAATTTGGACTGGATTTTAAATTTTGGATTAATTTGGATAGGAATTTGGTTTATGGTTATTGGTTATTTTGCAAACCCTTACTAGAGATCTCGTATTTAAGAGACTATGAACCGTTGCGACTTAATCTAATTTATTTTTATATTTTATTGTTATAAATACGATGTCCCACATCCATATTGCTTAACCACGTAAAAGGCATGAAGGGTGGAGAGCGATATCTAGCATAACCAACATGTGCTCGCCAGGTGGGTAAGATCATTGTATTATAAGGTCAACTCGGCTTTAAGTCAGAAAGTTAAGTCAGCCACGGGTCATGTATTGGGTCATGTATTGGATATAGACAGGAGTCACACATTTGACTTTATAGTGGTAAAAAAGGAAAAAGGTTTGGAGGCTGGGGAAAACGATATACGTGTAGTCTCTCGTCTTTCCCACGTCGGCTCTCCGTTCAAGCACCTCTTATGCGATGTGTCTCCCCAAACCGTAACGTATCCGCTTATGGTGCGTAAACATGTTGGGAATGGTTGCTAAATTATAGGAAGATTCGGTTTCAGACTCTGAGACTATAAATACATAAGTATCATAATACCAAGAGGACAACCAATACCTTAATAACCTTAAAGTCTCTCACAACCCTTATCCACTAAGGGTTGCTAAACATTTGTACTTTAAGCGAGTACAGTTGGCGCCCACAGAAAGTCCTTGATAAAACTGAATTGGACCACCCTCAGTGCTTTCAACTAGAGTATTGTTTTTGCGCTCATCCCAAACCATGGTGAACAAAAAGGTAGCTACTCTAGCCAGTGAAGAGTTTGACGGTGACGAAAATCTCATAGCGGAGATACGCACTGTTATAGATGACTTTCGTCACTAGAATCAAGAAACGAACATGGTGGATGAACTTGAAGTGTTGGATCCCCAACCTCTATCAAAGACGAGATATGGGAGGCACTTGTCCCATAGAATTTTAAACTTTCATCATTGGCTAAGTTCGATGGGCGGAACGTCCCGTATGAGCACGCGGTCTCCATCAACACTCAAATGACCATCATTTGGGCACCTAATTCCCTAGTGCAAGCTCTTTTCCGACACTTTTAGGGACGCAACCTTAAGATGGTATATGAGTTTCCCCTAGATCTCTGTCACTAGCTATCAAACTTTAGTGAAGAAGGCAGTCCACCAATTCACCGCAAGCAGACACCGAAAGTTCACCACTACTAGCCTATTCAATATACGCCAAAGCTCATCAAAATCGTTGAGAGAGTATATGACTCGCTTCAACAAAACAAGGATAAGGTGATCCATCCAAATAAGAAAATGTTCATTAGAGCATTTTAAAATGGTTTCAGGGTAGGAAACTTCAATGAATCTCTCGCTCAAAGACCAGTGGCGCCCTTAGCTGGACTAGTGACGCGAGTGAAATGTTATATAAAAGGCAGGGAAATTAATGCCGAGAAGAAACCTTGTGATGTAAAGGAGCGCATTTCTAGCTCAAAGAGCTCACAAAGGAACTAGTACACATCGCCCATGAGAGTGGAATATTCACTGAAGGTTTCACTCCATGAGTGGAATATTCACCGAAGGTTTCACCCCATGAATGCATGTCGAGGACAAATATGGAGAGTGGGTATATGCATAATATCCCCAAACCGTCAAGCTCAAAGACTTGATCCCCAAAGTTAGTGTGAACTCCATAAGATTAAAGGACATCAAATAAAAGGACTGTTGACATGCTACTCAAAAAAGAGACTGAGCTCATCATCCAACAAAGTCATATGAAGAGATATATTAAGAACAATTTCGTCAAAGGACCAGATGAATCTAATTAGCAAGAACGAAATTCATAAAATAGTCCATGATCTTAAAAAGATATGAATCAAATTAAAGAAGACAAGAAACAATTCATTTTAGTTTTAATTTCTCTTTACTTTTTAATTATTTTTTTATGACCCGTTTTTTAGTCACACTCCTTAATTTTATTTTTAAAAATGTAAAAGCAATAAAAAAATCATTATGAAAAAAAAACACATTTATATTATTTTATACTTGATCTTATTTAGAGACAATTTATTTTTAAATTTATTAAATAATTATTGTGTTATCTTTCATAAATTGGATCGGATAAAAGAATTCATCACATGATATAATTTTTTTAATAATTTTTCATACATTTTAATAAGAAAATATTTAATTCACTCGTTATAATAACCGCTATATATAAAATATCAATATTCCTTCTAGAACCATTGGTCGAATTAAGTTAGAATTTCGAACAACCCAAACCCAGATAGAAACCGATTCAGTTTGACGCAAACTAAAAAATGGTGAACTACATGCTTATGATCAGTGCCGAACTTGAAAACTTGACCAATCTTGAACCTCAAGGTGGCTGCGATGATCCCAATTTCTCCTATTTCTTCAAGGTATCACAATCTCTTTTTTATTTTCTTCAACATGCTTTTTTTTCTTCTTCTTTATTTTCATTAATTTCTTTATCTTTGCGATGATGATGATAGTTGAAATGTGGAAGATGTGGTGAATTGAGCCAAAAGGAAACTTGTGTGTCTCTGAACGACACCGTTCCTCTTCCAGCTGGTAGAGGCACTACTCATCTTGTTCAAAAGGTAATCTGATCTCAGCTCCGCATTTCATCAAACAGCTGGTAGGCCTTTAAATTATTACACTAGCAAGGTTTTAAATTGTGGTCGCAGTTAATTCACAATCCTTGATGTTGCTCTTCAAACCATTACTGGTGTCGCCGTGCCAGTGTCAATATCATTTTCCGGGTCTCCTTGCTTCATCATAGCAAATAAGTTAATCCAAATAGGCTCTTAATCTAGAGCTTACAGGATAAGCGCTTAGCATATAAGTGTTCATGTGTAAGCGATTTCTGTAACAAAAGATAGAGTAAAGTTAAATTATTTTCATATAAGCTATAAAATGGTTTCATATAAGGTATAAGATGTTTCCATAGGCAATACTAAGCTCTCTCAGTTGTCACATAGTAATATTATTGACATATGTTAAGAGAGAATAAATTTTTCAAGAAGAACTTATAGCTAGCAAATGTAAAGGAAAAGTTAAAGTAATCTTGCTACGACTCTCTTAAACCGAAACTCTGTTGTTTAGTTTCTCCATAAGTTGTAGTAAATTTATAAGGGCTTGTCTTGTTTATTGTAAATTTAATATTTATTGTTAGTTTGGATTGATTTATTTGAACTTATTTATTAGTATAATTATGCATGTGTGTTAGTTTCAGAGACCTAATAAAAACAACTTATGACATGTCTCTAAGTTGTTTTTAACTTATTTTCATAAGCTTTGCAGGATAGCTTATGGAAGCAAACAGCTAATGACTTGTATAAAAACAATTTAACTTTATTTTATCTTTTGTTATAGAAATAGCTTATATATAAACACATATATGATAAACTTTTATGCTATAAGCACTTAGTTAAGTTGTTTATCCAAAATAGGGTCTTATTTTAGTTGATAACATCCCATTTAGATACTAAACCTGTATTCACATTTTATTATCTTCTCTAACAAAGATCATTTAGAAACATGTGCATTCAGAGAGGTCCCCATTAAACTAGCTTGTATATGCGCATGGTAGAGAAAATGAAAGGCAGCATTATCCCAAATTTTCAATATATTATTTGCATACTTGATTTTTGTGGATCCATCATTGAACTTTTTTTAATCCAAAATAGGGTCTTATTTTAGTTGATAACATCCCATTTAGATACTAAACCTGTATTCACATTTTATTATCTTCTCTAACAAAGATCATTTAGAAACATGTGCATTCAGAGAGGTCTCCATTAAACTAGCTTGTATATGCGCATGGTAGAGAAAATGAAAGGCAGCATTATCCCAAATTTTCAATATATTATTTGCATACTTGATTTTTGTGGATCCATCATTGAACTTTTTTTTATCCCACTAGGTAGAATGGGTTTATTGCAGAAACACTAAGAAAATGCACCTAATGATTTGCATACAGTTATTAGATATCTCAGTTTAGGTTTTTAGGCGTCTGACATCTATACTTAACAGTATGACTGAGAGGAATTATATTATGTTTGCTCTTGTACTGTTTATGTTCCATCAATTTCATAGGAGACACATTCTGGAATTGTTAATTCTGCTGCATAATTTTGGAGTTAGCAATTAGCTCTAGTTTAATTGAAAAAATTTGTTTGGTACAAAGTTGTTGTTGAGTTAACCAAAGTTATTAGGAGTTAACTCGTTTGCTGTTATTCAGTTAAGTATATATTGGGGATTAATCCCATTGTATTATTCATTCTGAATTTTATTGTAGTTATTTTGACTAAACTAGAGTTTAGTTACTAACTGTAAATGCATGTACTATTTTAATTTGTGTGGATGCGGTAATCTTCAACCTGTATGTATCTGCTGCTGATGGCTTCTCAACACCCTTTGTTTGGTATACAGTGCAAATTTTGTGGCAGGGAGAGCACTGTAACTATGATCCCTGGCAGAGGAAAACCACTCACCCAGGAAACAAGTGAATCAGGGAAGTTTTCCCCACTGATGTTATTTGACTGCAGGGGCTATGAGCCGATAGAATTTGTATTCGGCACCGGATGGAAAGTTGAGTCGGTGAGTTTCTTTGTTATTTGTTTGATGTTTTCATTACTTTTTGCATCATGTCTTTGATATTCTCCTCTAATTGCTCCATGTTGCTGATTATAAACTAGATATGGTAAATGGCTCATATACTCTATTTTCTTTGTTGTATCATGTATGTATCATTTGTTTTTATTCCATAATTGTTGCAGTAAGATGTCACATTTGATATTGTTGGAATTTTCGCCTTCATTGCGGTCCTCCCCTAGTCGCTTAAATTGCGGCATTTGGCTCGCCTTCATTGCAGCCTCCAACAACTTCATTGTGTTTGGTTTGAAGGGGTGGATTACTCCCGACATTGCTTAGAGATATGAGCCGGTTTTGTAGGGTTGAGTTAAGTCCAACCCACACAATCTGACAGATATGGTTTGATGCTTATTGTCGACAGCTAGATATGTATTCTCATTGGTATCAATTCTGTCTGAAAAGTTTACCTGCAAAACTCCAAACTTGGAAGAATTTGATGTGATGAATGTGATTAACTTCGAAGTCTTCTATTCTAAAATATGAGAAATTAAACCAATAATCATATGAGAAGATGAGCAAGTTCAAAGTAACTTTCATTCTTCACAATTTTGAAGTCTAAATTATTGTGAAATTTGCGAGATATGCAGTCCCTCTATGTCCTCTTGAATCAAGCTTCATGGGGAAGATGTCTTAATAATCTGAAGTTTGGCCAAGAGATATGTAAAGTATGATCAACGAATGTTTTCTCATGTGCTCCAGATCTGTTCAATCTTAACGACTAATCAACCACTTTATAGTTCAATCACTTGTCAAATTTTATGCTATAGTTGTACTAAATGATTTCCCAAAGTGTGGGAACCTATATTTTCCATCTTTAACCAGCAGCTTTCTTCTTTTACATGTAATTTGTACCATTCTTCTCCCATTCTTTTTTGTCTTTGATCTATTCTCTAATTCTAGGCATACTCACCTGATTTCCATTTTCAATTTTGACGCACATGCTTCAGACATTTTCGTTGCATTATAAATTTTTTACTTGTTTGTCCAATTTTCCTTTTAATGCAAGTTGTATTTTGTAGTTGGAGGGAACAAAGTTTGAGAATGTTGACTTGTCCAGTGGAGATTATTCTGAATATGATGAAAAGGGTGAGTGTCCAGTCATGATATCCAATCTTAAAGCTACTTTTGATGTGGTGAAGTAAAGAGAATTAGTTTGATGTATGAATAATTCCTTGGTGTATAAATTGACTCTTCTCTTTGAGACAATTGTTTGTAATATGAGGCATCTTAACCAGACTGTAAACTTCCTCTTAATATTACAAGAAAAAAATCCTGGGATATTTCTTGGAGGGAATTAAAAATTTCCAAGGGATTTGATGAAGTTTACTTTGCATTTCATATTGAGATGTTTACTGTTTTAAGAGAGTTGAGTGTTTCGCAGATGCAAGAGGTTTTAGCTTTTCAAAAAAGTTGAGTATACTTTATTTTAGAGATAAAATTTGCAAATTATCCCTTAAATTATTTTGTTAAACAGATTTAGTTACAGTTTAATATCAAGTTTTAGATTTAAAAAGTAAGCGTAGATAACTTTATTTTCAATCTCAATTTTAATTCATGTTAAGATTCAGACCATTTTAAATTTATTCGGATGTGTTTGTTTGAAGATGTTATATCTTTATACTTTGTAGTGTGAAATATGTTTCTTAATTCTTAAGATATCTAAGCTATGATGGTCAACTCTGAAATTAAAAAAAAAATATATATAAAAATAAAATAAAATAATATTTAGATTAAATTATAGTTTTAATTTTTCAATTTTACTTGATTGACGAAATTAATCTATCTATTTTAAATTCAAACAATTTAAATTTTAATAATTAATCATTCTCACGATTTTTTTATGAAAAATAAGATTTTTCATAAATCAAATAAAATAAAAAATCAAAATTGTAATTAAACTATGATTATTGAGCGCATAAATGGTTGCGTTACAATAGTTTTTTGAATTCACAAAGAAATTATTATAAAACTTTAATGTTTCTCCAATTTGACTGCCTAATGGTTTAGCTTTTGAAACCTCAAACTCACGTCCCAAAGCATTCTTACTGTGAAAAACCAAAAACTACGTCCCAAAGCATTCCACCGCGGAAAACCAAAAACTACAAAGTGTAGCATAAATGGTTGCGTTACAATAGTTTTTTGAATTCACAAAGAAATTATTATAAAACTTTAATGTTTCTCCAATTTGACTACCTAATGGTTTAGCTTTTGAAACCTCAAACTCACGTCCCAAAGCATTCTTACTGTGGAAAACCAAAAACTACGTCCCAAAGCATTCCACCGCAGAAAACCAAAAACTACAAAGTGTAGCATAAATGGTTGCGTTACAATAGTTTTTTGAATTCACAAAGAAATTATTATAAAACTTTAATGTTTCTCCAATTTGACTGCCTAATGGTTTAACTTTTGAAACCTCAAACTCACGTCCCAAAGCATTCTTACTGTGGAAAACCAAAAACTACGTCCCAAAGCATTCCACCGCGGAAAACCAAAAACTACAAAGTGTAGCATAAATGGTTGCGTTACAATAGTTTTTTGAATTCACAAAGAAATTATTATAAAACTTTAATGTTTCTCCAATTTGACTGCCTAATGGTTTAGCTTTTGAAACCTCAAACTCACGTCCCAAAGCATTCTTACTGTGGAAAACCAAAAACTACGTCCCAAAGCATTCCACTGCGGAAAACCAAAAACTACAAAGTGTAGCTTTTATGTTATTGTGATTTTCTGCCGCACATTCTTTTCTGTAGGAATTAAACCAAATTCCGTTTAAGAGTTTCACCACAACTTTATGAATTCTGAATTAATTCTTGATAAACAAAAATCAATCTTTCTGATTGATTATTACATTTGTTCTTCACTCTTCATTCTAATGAATAAATCATTCATAGTTGATTGGTTTTACTGCATAATAATAATGAAAGAAGAAAAGAAAATTGAATTGAGAAGAAGTTAGGGTTTTAATGTGAGAGGGAAGAGAAGAGAAAGAATTGTGAATTCTGCAGAGTTTCTCTCTGCTTCTCAAACTGAGAAACGTTATTCAACTGTGTAATTTCACTTTTATTGTGTTACAATTCATAATAGAGTTACTTCTTATACATAGATTGTGTTTGCTTACTCCCTAAGCAAATCTCAAATACTTAATTAACACTGTAAAATTGGGCCTAAGTAATCCATGTCGAGGAGTTATCCTTGACACTTTGACAACTAGGTGTTTTGACAACAACATGCTTCGACACCATGAATCACATTTCAACACACTATCTAATTCATTGTGTCTAAGCTATCTACATTCATCATAGACCTTAGTCTTTTGAACATTTTGGCATGCATTTCTTTCGTCATGATGTCTGCAATCTAATTCTCAATTTTACAGTGTTCCAAGTTCAGCTTCGCTTCTGCCACATACTCTAAGAAATAATGGAAGTTCGTTTCGATGTGATTGCTTCGTCCATGTGCTATCAAATTATTTGTCAGATCGATAGCAGACATGTTGTCGATCTTCATGGTAATTACTCCATGACTCTTCTCTGTTACCTAATCGACCATATTCATCATCCATGTTGCTTGACACGCACAAAGAGAAGAAACTATGTACTCTGTGTTACACGACGAAAATGTCACTATTGATTCTTTTCTTGAGCTTAAAGCAACTGGACACCACCTAGCGTAAACGCATAGCCAACTGTGGATTTACTATCCTTAACATCACTGCATAAACTTGAATCAGTGTAATCCACCAGCTTGCATTCTTTTCCTTTATTATCTATAGGAAACAAAATATCATAGTCGAGAGTTTCTTTGAGATACCTTAGTATCCTCTTTGTCGCTACTAGATGTGATAACTTTGACTTCTGCATGAACCTACTCACCATACCCACATTATATGCTAAATCACGCCTTGTATGACAAAGGTATCTTGATGACCCAATGAGTCTTATTTAGTGTGTTGGATCGACATCATCTTCATTTGTATCTTTCGACAGTTGCAATATGGGTTCAGCTAGAGTTGAAGTTGGGTTGCAATCTTGCATCTCAAATCTCTTGAGTATTTCGCCTGCATATTTTCTTTGGTGCATCATCAAGCCTCTACTGCTCTTGTAGAATTCGATGCCAAGGAATTATGAGGGAATTCCCAAGTCTGACATTTTAAACTCCTCACTTAAGTCATGTTTGAAATCTTCGATCTCATTCTTGCAACTTCATGTTATCAATAGTTCATCAACATGGAGACATAGTATAAGGAATTCACAATTTCTTCTTTTTACATATACTCTATGTTTAGTTGTGCACTTCACAAGTTCCTTATCTCTTAGAAAGTTATATATCTTGTTATTCTAAGCTCTTGGAGCTTGCTTAAGTCCATATAGGGTTTTATGTAGCCTGTATACCTTGTTTTCTTTGCCTTGTTTCACAAATTCAACTGGTTTTGCAACATAAACTTCTCCATCTAAGGAGCCATTCAGAAATGCACATTTCACATCCATATGATATATATTCCAGTTGTTCATGTTTGCTATTCCAATAACTAACCTGATTGTTTTGACCCTACCAACAGATGCAAAAACCTCATCAAAGTTGATTCCTTCTTTCTGAAGTAATCCTTTCACCACAAGCTTTTCCTTGTGTCGAGTTACTTCTCCTTTGAGATTCAACTTCACCTTGTATACCCACTTCACATAGATTTCCTTCTTATCTTGATGCAATTCGACAAGTGACCAAGGGTTGTTAACTTCGATGGACTTCAGTTCCTCATTCATTATTTTCATCCACTTCGAATACTTCAATGCCTCAACTGCATTGACTGATTCGACATCTACATAGAAAGCATAGTGTACTGGCTCACCTTTATCATCGACTACATCATCTTAAGTAATCACACGTTCTTGCAGCCTTGCAGACATGTGTCTTGTTTTTTGAAGTCTGTTTGTGCTTGTTTGACCTCTGACTTCTTTTTGTCGAACTTCTCTTTCGACTTCACTTGTTGGTTCTTCACATTAGATTCTCACTGAATCCTTCTTTACATTTTCAATCCAATCTCATTCCTTAAGCTTATCTATGGCCACGTCCCTGCTGAACACTACTTATTGGTTCACTGGGTCGAACAACTTGTATCCTCCAGTTAAATGATATCCTATTATAATCATTTAACTCGACTTGTCATCAAGTTTTCTTTTCCACAGACCTAACACATGTTTTTGTACTATAGATCCAAATACCTTCATATGACTCAAGCTAGGCTTGACACCAAACTAACATTTTTCTGGCATAATTCCTTATAGCCTTTTCGATGGACATCTGTTCAAAATATATGTTGCATTCAACACAACTTCTCCCCATAATTATTTGGGTAAATGATTGCCTTTCAACATAGTTCTTACCATATTTATGATGGTTTTATTCTTCCTTTCTGTAGTTCCATTCTGCTATGGGGTGTAGGGTGACACCACCTCATACACAATCCCTTCTTTCTCACATAATGTGTCGAAGTCTTTAGACACATATTCTCCACCACCATCAGTCCTCTGAATTTTGAGCTTTCAACTATAGATTTAAACTTAGTAAATACCTCAATCACTTCACTTTTCTTCTTGATCAGGTAAGTCCATAATTTTTGACTAAAATCATCTATGAAAGTAACAAAGTATTTGTTACCTTCAATCGAATCCACTTGGATAGGTACACATACATCATAGTGTATGATTTCAAGAATTGCCTTCGACTTGCTTCATGCATCCTTGTCGAAGTTGTTCTTATGTTGCTTTGCCTGCATAAATTCCTCACATACTTCGTTTAGAATGTCGATTTTTGGTAAATTTGAAAACATATTTCTACTCTTCAGATCTTTGTTGTCTTTGAAATTGAGATGGCCTAGTCGATAGTGCCATATCCGTTCATCCTTACTAGCTGTAGTTGCAAGGAACTTGTGCTTCATCAGTTCAATCCAGAAGGTTCTATTCTAAGACATAGGTGCCTTTAAGATTAATCTTCCAACAGAGTCGAGAACTCTCATCATCTTGTCTTTGGTCGATACTTTGCAGTTCTTTTCGACCAAATGCCTTATATTGAGCAAATTACTTTTCATGCCTGGTGTATACAATACATTGGAAATTACTGACCTCTTTCCATCTTTTCTCATAAT